TACTTCTTTGGGTGTGTGTGTGTGTGTGTGTGTGTGTGTGTGTGTGTGTGTGTGTACTGGGGATTGAACTCAGGGCCTTTGCACTAAAATACATCCAAAGCCTCTTTTCAGTTTTTTTGTTAATTTTAAGGCAGGGTCTTGTTAAGTCACTGAGTTTCTTAGGCTGGGCTCAAAGTCAATCCTCTTGCCTCAGGCATGCCAAGTTTAGTAGATTATACTGAACAAATGGCAGGTCCCCTAGGGAGCTACAAATAAGTCCTGTCAGGAATAGACACTTATTCTGGCTGGGCCTTGCATACTTAATGGAAATTGAAAATGCAAAACATACTATTAAATAATTGAAATAAAACATACTGTGTTATTTTGGGCCACCACATTAGATTTGTTTCACATTCAATCAAACTTTACAGCCCATAGTGTCCAAGAGTGGGCAAAGAAATATTATATCAAATGGACATATTATGTTGCATATTACCCTCAGAGTAACAGAGAATTGGAGCAAACAATTGAAAATTTTGTTGTCTAAAATTAAAGGAGGGGTTCAGGGATGTAGGTCAGGGGCGCTGCACCTGCCTAGCAAGCACAAGGTCCTGAGTTCAATATCAGAAAAATTAATTAACTGATTAATTAAAGGAGGAAGATAGTCATGAAGCATTTGTTTACATGATTTCATGAGGTTATACTCACTCTCAACATAAGAGGGAGCCAAGGGAGAGTCCTCACTAGAAATTCTTCCTCTTTTCTAGGGGACCTGGGGAAGATAAGATGAGGGAGGATGCTGTTATAATTATGTTTTTCTTCCCTGAATCACTTCAACTCTTTTGACTACCTGAAGCAGAGGGCCCAAGACCAGAGATGAATCTGCAGGTTCCAGAAACCTGGGTGATTCCTAAACAATTAACTGTATCAATATCTTTAATCTTTATATTAGAACTTCTAAGGCCCTTATAGGGTATTTTGCACCTTGAACCCATCTGGATATATCTGACATGGCAGCAAATGTTGCTGTGCATCCTAGCAGTTAGGATTGCTCACCAATTCTGCATGTATGTAACCCTACCCTATACGAATAAGAATATACTGAGAGGAGACCCTTGTTGGAATACTATTATTGCTGTTAATCTGAACCAGCACAGTGGCCAAAGATAACATCCTTTCCAAAAGTATAAAAGTTTGGGCTGGAGATTTAACTCAGTGGTTCTGCTGCCTGCCTCCCAAGTGCAAGGATCCGAGTTTGATCCCTGGTACCAAAAACAAACAAACAAACAAACAAACAAAAAACAGAAGTATAAAAGTTTGGGTATAATTGGAAAGAAGAAAGAATAATACCAGAGGTCAAAGAAATGAACAAATGAGTTATGCAATTAGGGGAACACAATATTATTCTAATACTTCGAAAAAGTCTAGAACAAGAGATGATATTGTCATACCACCTGCATTAAAATGTGAATTTAGGGCCGGAGATTTAGCTCAGTGGTTCCGCTGCAATCCCTGGTACCAAAAAAAAAAAAAAAAGTGAAGTTAAATGTTACAGAGACCATTCCTGCTTTAGGGACCTGACAAGATTCAATAGAAGCCTACAGACTTGAGTGGCCTCACTGTGGGATACATTTTGATGGTAGGATGTGATAAAGGAGTAGACTGGTTCTCTTATTTTTCATAGATGTCTATCACAATTTGATATGACATAGCAAACAATAGAGAAATAGATAGTCAAATGTGCTGGGAATTTGGTTTACAAGCCTTCTGTTCCTACTCATAATGGAGACCTCCAAATATTAGGCATACGTATGTTGGTACAATTGTTGTATCTGTTATGCAAATACTGCACAAAATGTAGATGATCAGACAGATATGATCCATTTACTGAAAGACTAGGGTGATACAATAGAAATATATTTGATCATCCATTCAAATACACACACACACACACACACACATATGTATGTATGTACTTGACCTTTGTCCCCAGTTCATGGCACAGAGTTTCAAAAAACCTCTGGAATTCCCTGAGTGATGGGAATCTCTGTTATGTTAATGAAGTATACAAAGCTGCTTTGCTATGTACTAGCTACCAATTCGACAGAGTCTGCTGAGACAGAACCTGTGCACAAGTTACATGAAGTAGGTTATTCCTTAGAGACAGGCAACAAGGGACAACAGAGGCCTAAGAGTCATGCCAGGCAGTTCCCAAGGCTGGGGAAAACTGTCCAGATGGATAAGATCTTGTCTGCATGTGCCCCCACTTGCATCACAGCTGAGGAACTCTTGAACAAAAACCACCCTAAGTTCCATACCACAGGGAGAGCAAGAAATTGCTGAGATAAAAAGCACTGAAGAACCGCCTATTTCTAGGAGGAAGTAGAACAGAGCACAGACTGTTCTGGCCAGTCCCTTCATACACAAGATATTACATTCCTAGCTCATTCCAATTATTTTTGAGAACTTGTGGGACTGCATTGTAATCTTAAATTAGCTCCAACTGTGATTAATTGTGAGTTAATAGGTAACTGCTTGGTAGTACTGGAAAACTAGATAGAAAGTGTAACAACATAGAGACCCAAAGTAAATCACTCCACTACTTGTTTGCCTGTAACTGAATGTTCTGAACACCACAATCTATGAAACAATGGGTAATCAATTTGCTGACCATTAGTATGTAAATGGCTGAGTACTTTGTCCCCTTCCTGTTAATTTTGAATGTTAACTCCCCCGATAACTCCTTATAAAAACAGCCTCTAACTGAGCTAGTTGCCTCTCTGAGCTATTTGGCTCCAGAAGTGCTATCTGGCCAGACTAATAAAGGTCTATTTTCCAACTAGTCCGTGTGTTCCTTCCTGGGTGATTCTCGCTGCTCGGTCAAGCTCCTGGAGCAATTGCTAGGCTATAGGCCTAGTATCTTGAAGGCCCTTTCAACTGTTCAAGCTCCTTGGAGTGAAAGTAAGGCTCAGAAGTCTTACAAACTATAAACAAGAAAGATGGAAAGACTGAGTTATTCCAAGGCCACTTTGCTGTCCTGCATGGTGATTCCAGGCTACAGAATGAAGGCTGTCAGAAATCCAACCATGTTACTAGGGGCTATAACTGTCTCTCTCTTCAACCTTTGGAGAATTGAGTTCAGTTAAGTGATCAATGATTTAATAAATTGTTCCTACGTAATGAAATCTCAGTAAAAACTCTGGACAATGAGACTCAAATGTTTAATGTCAGAATTAAATTGAAGAACTGGGCATGGTGGCAAACACCATTAATTCCAGCACTAGGGAGCCTGATGCAGTCGGACTGCTGTGAGTTCAAGGCCAGCCTGGGCTACATAGCAAGTCTTTGTCTCAAACCCAACACTTGTCAAATTAAATGAAATACCAGAATACCCACCCAGTTGCTGTTAAGAAAACTGGCGTCAGACTCAGTTATCATGGTGGTTTCCTGAGTCTGTGAGTTAATATGAATTCTAGTGAATTATCAAACCTGAGGAAGTAATGAGAAGACTCAAAAGGTGTAGGCTAAATAGGTGTAGCTGAATAGAGTGAAGGCCTATGGATCCCTGAATGAAGTGAGGGCAGGCTGGTAGAAGACCACACCTTTTACTGAGACATTTGACCCAATTCCAGGTAGTTGGTGACAGAAGCCTATATGAGACATTAAGTAGCCACAGGAAGAAAAGAAGTTGCAACACAGGGAAATATTGAAAACATTATGCTAAATGAAAGAAGCCAGACACAAAAGACTCAACAGAATATGATTCCATTAATAGGAAATCTCTCACATATGCAAATCTGCAGGCAAAAAAGGTAGATAAGTGGTTGCTTAGAGCTGGGGGTTGTGGTGGGTGGGGTTGGGTTAGAGAATTGAAAGCTAAAAAGACTCAAATTTCCCCTCTTCCTGCTCCTTCTGCTTCCTCTTTCTTTTTTTCTTTTCTGGAAGTGATGATGATTAAACCCAGGGCCTTGCACCTGCTAGGCAGGTGTTCTACCATTGATCTACAATGCACCATTTTCTCAGCCTTCAAGTTCTTCTTTCTTTTTAAAATTTATTTCAGTACTGGGAACCGAACCTAGGGCGTTAGTCCTGAGCTACATCCCTAGTCCTTTTTTGTTTTTATTTTGAGATACAGTCTCACTAAGTTGCCCAGGTGGGACTCAAACTTGCTCTCCACTATATCTGGCTTCAAGTTTCTTTATAATGATAGAAATGTAATAGAATTAACAGTGGTGCACATATCTATGCATATACTAAAAAAATGCTGAATCAGATTTCATTTTTTTTTAAATCTTTTTTGACAGGGTCTCACTATGTAGTTCATATGCTAGTCTTAAAATGGTGATCCTCCTGCCTCGGCCTTCCAAGTGCTGGGATTACAGGTATGTGCCACCATGTTCAGCTCTTTTATGAAAACTTTCAAACATATGTAATAGTGGAAAGAATAGTACAAGGAACTGCCAGGTGCTTGTCTTCAGCAATTACCAACTTCTGGCCAGTATTATTCCTTCTATTCCACTTTCAACCCCCAGAGGATTATTTTAAAGTAATTTCCAAATATTCTATTTAATCATTGTTATTTCAGTATATATTTCTAAAAGGTATAATTATTGATTTAATTTTTTTGAGATTAAGTCATGTACCATAAAAAATCTAACATATAAAATATGATTCAGCTGGGCATGGCGGCACATGCCTATAATCCCAGCACTCAGAGGCGGAGGCAGGAGGATTACCACAAGTTTGAGGTCAGCCTGGCTTACATAGTTCAAGGCCTCCTGAAATACACAGCACGATCCTGTGTCAAAAAGCCAAACACTAAAAAATAAAGTTTTCATAAAAGAATAAAGAACCACAGGAAATGTTTTCTCGGTAGAGAAGAGTGTCACTTCTTTTGATAGTTTACCTGTCCAGTTTACCTGACCTCAAACCCTGCCCCTCAGATGAGGGATATGAATTATTAAGAGGAATCCGAGAGGCTGTGAAGCCATGGAGTCTGGAGAGGCGCTGAGCACAGGGGCTGGTGTGGGCCAGGCAGCTCTGAGTCCTGCAGAGACCTACGCTGTCTCTCCCAGCCCCCTTACCAGGCTGATAGTGGTGGTAGAAGTGGAGTTCCAGAGGGGACCAGGTAAGAAGCCTTGACATTCACACTGAAAGAGAGGACAGTCAGGAGAGTGTTTGGGGATAGGCAGGCTTCAACCGGCGCAGGTCGGGGAACCAAGGTACATGTTGAAGGCAGGATGTGGGAATCCTGGAGCTCAGCATCCCTCATGAGAGTTGATATGAAGCCCACCTTTCTCAGACCCTGAGGAAATCCAGAGCCCTTTAGTTCTTCTGGAGGAGCCCAAGAGCCTTCGCCTCCTTCCTCCGAGGACTCTGGAGAGTCAGGTAAATGGGGCAGGGTGCAGATGGGGGAGGGAAAGACATTGCTGACCCCAGCTCTGCCCACAGGAACAACGCTTCACCTTTGACAGAGTCCTGGGCCCTGATGCTGCTCAGGTAGGGTGGTCTGAGAGGGTAATGGGAGGAAGATGGAGTCCTCAGATCCTTGAATCCTGGGATGCTGACTGATCTCCAGTCCCTGTGCTCAAGGCAGGCTGGGACAGGGCACTTTAGATGGGAGAGTGTATCTGTGTGTCCCTGCAGGAGGCTGAGCAGGAGCTGCTGTCAGGAGTCCAGTCCACACTGGCTTCAGTGGGCAGAGGGTACAGTGTAGCCCTGATTCTCCGGGGTCGGGAAACAGAGGCACCCCGACTAGTGCCCCAGGTAAGAAGCCACCAGATCACATGTCTCTTGAAGCTCAGGTGTCACCTCCTTCAGAAGACTTTGAAGAATCTGCCTGCCCACCCAAGCCAAACTAGGCGTCCTTCTTTGGAGCTCCTGTAGCATCCTGTGAGCCATAAGGTCAATTTTCCAGTGTCAGTTTATGCAGCTATTGGGTCAGGAGAGGGGAGAAGCTGGAGATGGTGAGTGAGGGTGAGGGAGGGGTGCCGTGCAAAAAGCAAATCTAATCTTCACAGTTCTTGTGATATTAATAACATGCTAAACTTGGATGTTTTCTTGTGGGGCTTTATAAAAATGTCCCCAATCAAACTAGCTACCTCAGAATCTTGTCATGACCCCTGCTCTGCAAATAGTAGGTCCCACTGAAAATGCTTGCCCACTTGAGTCTGTTTCTCATTGTGAATGTGAGAGCTAGTGCTAAATCTGTTCTGGACACCATGTTCCCAAGGTCTGGAATAGACTTCATCCTCAGGAAATGCTGGACCAGAACAGAATGCTTTCCCCAGACCCCAGAACAGCTTTCTTCACTGTAGCTGCTGCAGGTGCTGTTTGAGGAAGCTCTGCTCCTGGGATACTCTGACTGCACACTTAGTACCCTTAGCCTTGTGCAGGTGAGACCCTTGTGGGAGGAGAGAGAGAGTGGGACAAGAGGCAGAGCCTTGTGACACTGTAAAAAGAGCCTGAGGCCTACGGGGAGCTGAAAGGGAGCTTGGGTTCAGCCTCTCTATGTGCTTTGCCTCTCTGGGATCACTTTTGCCTGGACTGAGAAACAGCTAAATTCTTGCACCCTGTTTAGTGATAGAGGTCCCCAAAGGAAGGGAAAATCTTGTCTTGAAACAAGTGTGTTTGTGTAATCCTAGATCAGCACCAGCGGGAAGACCCGGGACCTGCTTTCTCCAGGGCTGGAGGACCTGTCGGTGCTGGAGGTGGCCCCTCTGGGCTTGTGAGTTTACAGGGTCCAATGGGATCTGAAGGTACTGTCTTAAGGCAGGGCTGACACCCTCAAGCCAAACCCTTGGAGGTTTCTACCCACTGCCACCCAGCAGAAGGAAGCTCTGAGCTTGGAGTCATATACTTACAGGGCCTGCGTCTGTTTCCAGGACCCGCTCCCACACTCTTCCCTTCATCCTATATGTCCTCTACTCCTTTCCCCCCATTTGGACCTCTTCAACTCCATCCCCAAGCCTCACGTCCTGACTCAGTCCATTCTCACATTGGGAAATTTTGAGTACCTCACTAAGCAGGACTTTAGTCTCTCTATCTGTGAAAAGAAGGCAATGCCAACTACCCTACTCTCACCCCTGGCAGACCACACAAGGAAATCAAGATCATCAAGATGAGAGGTATCTGAGGGAGGTATACTGAGCCTGGAGCCTTTAGGATGATTCTCACAGTCTAGGGACACTTTCATGGGAGAGTCTAAGGGTCAGGACAGAATACTAGTGCCTAGTGGCTGAGCTCATCATCCCACTTCCTTCAGGGTGGTGGAAGGTGCCAGGGAGGTGGAGGTGTCTGACTCGAGAGCTGCCTCAGAGCTGTACTTGCAGGCTACAGGAGGTGAAGGCAGGTAAGCACAGGAAGGCACCTGGCACCCCTCACCCCAGGCATTTGCCTGAGTCTACCTTGTCCTCCGCAGGACTTGCTCTCTGCTCACGCTCACCATTTCCTGTCCTGGGCCTGATCCTCCTGAGGGGCCTGGGACCCAGGGTGTGTGGCGAGGTGCTTTGCGGATCTTGCAGCTCCCAGGAGCCCTGTAAGTGAGAGGTTTTCTAATTCCACTGGGAGGAGATGGGGTGGTAATTATGGTTGTGAAGTGGTGAAACTATGGCACTTCACACAGGTGCAGCTGGCTGTTTGCATCATTGAAAGCTCTAAAGGGTTTGCCATCACTGGCCTAGGGCAATATTGAAATCTTTCTTCCTTTCCTCAGCATTGATGATAGTGTACCCTGGAGGCCAGGCCAATACCCTTTGTTGGCAAATGATGTGGTCAAAGGCAACAGGAGATTTTGTGGAATGGCTAGCCACTTTCCATATGAGCACTTTGCGGGCCAGGGATTTAGCTCAGTGGTGCTGCCCCCTGCCTTGCAATTGCAAAGTCCTGAGTTAGAGTCCTGATATGAAAAAGAAAAGAAAAAAAAAAAGATGCCCTCCATATGTATGCTTTGCAGCCACTGTTTTTTCAGAAGTTCATAAATGCACTAGAGGCAGTTTTTCAAATAGTGTCTTCAAGCATTATTATCAAATTTTTGTTTTTCTACTTTTTAGTTTTTACATTTCTAATTCATTTCCAGCCACTTATATTCATTCCTTCTACTACATCAAAGTACAAACTCAGAAAGAACCTAAATGTCCAAAACTAAGATTGGACATTTCCCAAGTAACTGTATTGTCATATTCCACACTATACCTTTTCTCCAGTGCTCAGAAATAATAAATACAAGTCAAATGTGGTGGTGCAGGTCTGTATCCTAGCACTCTGGGAGCAGGAAGTTCACAGCAGAGCCCACCCTGGGCGATTCAGCAACTTAGTGAGACCCTATCTCAAAATAAAAAATAAAAAAAGCTATAGAGATGTGGCATAATACGAAGGCTCTGAGTTTAACCCCTCTCCATCATGTGGCAAGAGAAAATAATCATTTTAAACTAATTTGCAAAATTTGTAATATCATTGAAACATTGCTAAATTCAGAACGATCTAAAAACAAAGTAAAGAAAAAGAAAAAAGGAGAGGGGGAATACCTTAAAATCCAGACTATTCCAATGTTTTCCTTCCTTTCTTTTTTTATTGTATAATTTTCTTTAAAAAATAGCTAGCTATGTGGAAATATAATTTATATATGTTAAAGTTCACACTCTTAAAATGAATAAACTCAGTGGTTTTTAGTATATTCACAAAATTGTGCATTGTTCAGCACTAATGATAAATAAAAATTAGATACCTGAAATAAAAGGGATTGTTGAACTGTTAGCCATGCTAGCTAAAAATAAAAGGACCAATTCTAGAAGAAATTTTTTCTAAGCCACCAAAAGCAAAGGAAGGTAGTAGTTGGAAAATGTTCACTAGATCTAAGAAGCCCTGGTATTTTAAATGAAACTCTGAAGAGAAGGATAAACTGCTTGCACTATAGGTAAGAGGGCGAGTCAATGCTAAACTCCAGTCTCGACAGAAGGCCAGTCTATAAGGGAGGCGCTTGTTGCTTTTTGCTTGGTTGGTTTTACAAGCTGAATATGACAGAGCCTTTATGGCTAATCTTCACCACATAGGGAAGAAATGTGGAATGGCTTTGTTTTTTCCTCTTTGTTGATCTATCACAAAGCTGTTAGTTAAAACAAACTCTTATCTTTTCCTCTCTTTCATTCTCTGTCCAGTAACTAAGTTTAGAAAAATCTCAGAATTATTTTATCACTAGTTCCAGAACATTTTTCTCACTCCAAAAAGGAAACATGTTTCTATTTTCAGGCATTCCCCATCCTACCTCCCCTCAGCCCAAAATGATCACTGATCTTTCCGTTTCTAAAGATATGCCCAGCCAGGGATGGTAGCCCACACCTCTAATTCTACAGCTCTAGAGGCTGAAGCAGGAAGATCATTGAGTTCGAGGCCATTCTAGGCTCCATAGTGAGTTCAGGACCAGCCTAAACTACAGAGTCAGAGCCTGTCTCAAAAAAACTAAAGATATATCTGTTTTGAGCATTTTCATATACAATAAATAAAATCATGCACTATGTGATCTTTTGTGTTTGAATTTTTCATTTAACAATATTTTTAAGGTTCATTCAAGTTGTAGCATCAACATTTTTATTGCCAAATATTGTAATATTCCATTGTATAAGATACTATATTTGTGTATCTGTTTCCCCACTAATAGATATTTGAGTTATTTCCACATTTAGTTATTATAAACAATGCTGCAATGAACATTCATGTATAAGTTTTCTTTTGTTTTGTTTTTTGGTACCAGGGGATCAAACTCGGGACTCCTGGGGAACATTTACCCTAAACATCTGACTCTCCCAGAGTTCTAGTCATGTTGATTCTGTTCATTTTTTCCAGGTGTTTCTGGGGATAGATGGACCCTAGAGTTCCCTACTGCACCTTTTTCACCAATGCCACCTTCCTTTACCTATCTTTTTTTTTTAAAGCTTTACCCATCTTGACATTATTTGTCTTTTTTGTTAATGAATTGTAAGAGCTGTTTGTGTGTTTATGTATTCTGGATACAAGGCCCTTTCAGATACATAATTTTGTACCATGATAATATGTTACCTCTTTAAATTTTAAGTAAAATAACAAAATAAAAATAAAGATCTATGCAAGGTTGCAAATCTGTCTGGTGGGGCACAGAAGTTGTTAGAAATAGTCAATCTTCCCATGAGAGTGTGATTCTGTGGTTTATTTTTCCCATCCACCAGTGGACGTCTTTCTTTTCCTTTCCTTTGGCAGAGATTGCCCCCTGCTGCAGGTATTGGCTGGTGAGGTTGTTGGTGAGGAGATGGAGGGCTCTCTACCTTGGATTGTCTCACAGCTCCTAGAAGGAAACAACTATGGTGGCCTACTCCTTCGCCTGGACCCCCAAGGTGGCTGCGGGGAGGTTGTGGGGTTCTTTGGGAATCTCTAGGATAGTGGTGGTGAACCTTTGGCACGTGCCACAGTGGTCTATTTCTATCATTGAAAGGTTTGTCATCACTGCTCTAGGAGGAGGCCTTAGGCCTGTCTCATCCTATTACCTAACCAGCCTCTGCCCATTCCCAGCCCAAGGAGAGAGAGCCTGAACCCCTGGGAAGGCCAACATTCAGAAAGGTACCATTAGCTAGGTGTGGTGGCACACACTTAGCACACACTTTTAAACCCAGCACTCAGGAGGCTGAGGCAGAAGGACCAGGAAGAGGTCAAGGCCAGCCTAGTTTACAGTGAGTTCAAAGCCAGCCTGAACTACATAGTAAGACCTTGTCTCAAAAAAAACAAAACAGGGCTGGGGATTTAGCTCAGTGGTGCCACCTCCTGCCTTGTAAGCACAGGGTCCTGAGTTTGATTCCCAGTACCAAACAGAAAGAAAGGAAGAATGACTTACCTATTTTTATATCCATTGTGTATCTGTCCTCTGAAACAGTTATATCAGGGCTTTGCAGGGCAGGTCAAAGTGGAAGTTATAGATTAAAAAAGAATGACCATGAATTGATAATAGTTGAAGCTGAGTGATACTGTACAGGTAGATGCATTCTTATACTTTGAATGTCTTTTACCTTTGGCATAATAAGAGGTTTGGTTTTTTTTTTTTTTCTTTGAGACAGGGTTTCACTATATAATTAAGATTAACCTGGAACTCACTATGTAGCCCAGGCTGGTCTCAAACTCAGAGTGATCCTCCTGCCTTAGCCTCCCGAGTGCTGGGATTACAGGCGTGCACCACCACGCCCACTTTAGAATTTTTTTTTTCATCTGGTTTCTGACTGACTCTGAAATCAACAAACACACCTTCATTGACCAGTAGGTTCCCAGACCTCACCCTGTGGCAGTCTGTATAGAATGAGTGACAAGACAAGTTGGGGCGATTCACACTCTTCAGGATAAAGCAGTGAGGGGTAGACAGTTTGTCAGCTCTGCCACTCACCAAGAAATTGCTTGACCTCTCTACACTTCAGTTGTCTATTCTGGAAAAACATGAGGGAGGCAGGATCTATCACAGTTGCTGTGAATAAAAAGAAGTAATCCATGAACAGTCTTAGGCATCAAACACATGTGAAAGCTTAATAGGAGTTATTTTGATGAAGTATTAATAGAACTTTTAAAAATTACAGGCACTGTGCCCTGGAGTTCACAGGAAGAAGAAATCCACTGTGAATCTTCTCTTACAGGTAGCTCCCTGAGTTTGCTTCAGGCTGCTCTGCTGGGGGCCTCACAAAGAAGGCTACAAGTGAAACAGGTGAGGCCCATCCTTTGGAATGCAGTAGAAGAGGCCCGGGCCCGCAGAGCTGGCCTGAAGACTCTGCGTTTAGGTCTCCTTGGAAACTCCTTGACAGATGGTGGGCTTAGCCATCTGGGCAGGGCACTCCGGGAGCTACAGGTGAGCAAGGTGAGACCTGGGGGCTCCTAGACCAGCAACGACCAGGGCCTTCTCTGAACTTTCTTTTCTGTAGGTGATAAAAGCCTGGAGCCAGTACCCAAGAAACCCAGTACCCAAAGGGGCCAGAGCTGAGGTAGAGGAGCTCCCAGAGCCACAGGTATGTCTTCTTATCCAACCTCTTAGGAGCTCCATTTATATCTGCCTTCCTCTCCTGTTTCTGGAGCATTCCATTTGTTTGTTGATTTATTGATTCCACAACATTTACTGACCATCTATTATGTGCTGGACATAGTGCCATGTCAGCCCTGAGAATTTCCTGTTCTTGTGGTTACAACCTTCTGGGAAGAAACAATCACAACACTATGATTGGTGCTCTGATAGGCTTATAAACACCTGCTCCTATCGGGCATCTAAGTTAGCCTTGGCAAGAGAGTAAGAAAGACTCCATGGAGGAAGTGATTCCTCATGGGTTAGCAAAGAGAGTGAAGAATGCTCCAGGGAGAAAGAATAACAGACAGAGACTCAGAGGCCAAGAGTACTTGATGTCTCTGGGAAACTGAAAGCAGTTCAATTTACAGATTAGTGTTTGAAGGAGATAATCAGGAGAGGACCGGAAAGGGAAGCAGGGGCCAGATCACACAAGGGCTTTATAAATCTATTGGAGAGTTGTTTGGACTCTGTTTTCAAGGTCCAAAGCAAACCATCGAAGTACTGCAAGCAAGGAAGACAACATTGCTTCCACTTGTCAGGAGAGGAAACTAAGGCTCAGAGATGTGAGTAGCCCGGAGTCACCAACATAATCAGAGGCAGCAGAGGTGCAATCACACTCAAACCCTTAGACCGCTAATCTGTTACTCTTTTATCCTCTTAGGCATGACCTTTCTAGAGCAGGAGATGCTGTCCCAATGATTTGCTGTAGGGTAGTTAAAACCCTGCCTCTCTTGGCCCTTCTCTTTCCTTTTCATAATTTAAAAACTGGGTTTACAGCCCTGGAGTTGGAAAATTAGGTATTATTCCCAGTTATTGAGGAAGTACTTTAGGCCATTACCTCATTTCATATTCTCCACAACTTTCATCTTTGTTTTATGAAGAACCTGGTGACTCAAAAGGCTAGTTAACTGCTTGAGGTTATACACCTAAGAATAGGTCAGGTGCCTGGTCCCATTTCAAATTCCTGAGCTTAACCTAAAGTGTTCTAGAAGGGGGTAAAATTGTCACTTCTAATATAGTCTTAGCAGGTGACAGATTCAGCAGCAAACCAAAGCCTAGGTATAAAGGGGGAATGCCAAGGTGAATTGGACCTAGAGGCTAGCTGTATGTGTGGCTTCCCTCTACCTTTGGTGTAATTATTTGCCTCCAGTGGCAGGAAGAAGAGCACCTCTAGGGCCTGAGCTCCACCAAAAGCATTCTCACAGGAACCCTGAGGAACAGGTACCCCAGGAATAACTGGAAACTTGTTTGGAGTGAGGAGTCTCAGAGATCAGCTACCTGCTTCCCCTACCCTGACATTGAGGGAGGAAATGGAGGTTCTGGCCAATAAAGGACCTGAAGGGCCACTGGATTCTTGTGAGAGAAAGGTCTGGGAAAGGCCATTTTCTTTCTGGGTTGAATTAGGGTTGTGAGATCTCTAGGACCTCTATTGTACCATGGATAGAGCCAGTAGCTTCTCTCGCCAACTATGACCTCCTGAGTCTGTGCCCAGGCTACAGGATCTACAAGGCCATTCAGGTCCTGGACGTACTTCTGGTAGCATCCCTGGAAATGAGATTCTGTTGGAAAAGTTGGGCCCTGCGTTCCAAAGCTAGGTACACATAAGTGTGGCTGAACTTAGACTGAGACTATCTATGCCTACCAGGTCCCAGATGTGCCCCTGCAGTTCCTCCTAGCCCAGGCACAGAGACAAAGGCTGCAAGAGCAGCACCAAATTTGGATCCAAGAGGAGCTAAAGCGTTTGGGACAGGAGGAGGTGGCAGGTGAACAGGTCAAAGGCCCAGCAGCCAAGGAGGAAGTGAAAAGAGTAAGTATGGGGCTAGGATCCATCACCAATCACAATTGACTGGTCCATAATGTCTCATGGCCCTTGTAGCCTTGTAAGGGATAAAGGAGAAATTCTCAGTGCTGCACAGTGAGGCAGGTTAGGGGTGGGTGGGAACAAAGAATACATCATCTAGGCTGGAATGGATCAGAGATGGTATTAAGCTAAGACTTTAAGGACAAACAGAAATCAGACAAGGAATTTCACTAGATTTAGCAGTCATTGTTCACCAGAGACTCAGGAAATCTAATTTGTTTGATCAAATTAAGAAACAAAACTTACATGGTAGCGAGTATACGGAGTGGGGAACATGCTCCCAGTGAGGATAAAACTGTATGAGGAAAGGTGTTGTGGGAAGCAATGGCAAAATAAGCTCTGGGAACTACAAGCTGTCCTGCTAGCTAGAGCCTGGCAAACAAGTAGTCAGAGGTTAAGGCTGAAGACAGTATGTGACATCTCTTGGTTTGGATTTCAACCCAAGGATGCTGGGGAGCTGCTGAAAGGTATGTGCCATCTCTAGCTGTAGGAATCTGGACAAATTAAATTATCTCCCTGATCCAGGTTCCAAATCTGTAAAATGGCAACTATTCCATAAGGTTGTTATTAGATAAAAACATAGAAAGTGTTTAGCTCAGAGTGTGGCACACAGCTGGCACTCAACAACGGCTATGAATTATCTCTGAAGTTCTGTGAAGAGAGACAGAGATGGCTCCAGGAGCAGACAGTACTGAGGCTCCAGGTGGAGGCCCTGCAGGCAGAGCGGGACACTGCAGAGAAGGACCTGGCAGCCCTCTATGACCTGCACGTGCAGGCCACCCGCGCTCGGACATGCCACATGCTACAGGTCAGGGGGCACCGATGGCAGGCCCTGAGCTGGTGTCAATGTTGGTGGGCTGACAGGCATCTGTGAATTGGAGCACAGGTATTCCGAGCCTGGCAGGGGCTGTGGGAGGAGGAGGCCACAACCACAGAGCACCATCTTCGCAGCCTCCTGGCTGGTGTCCTACAAGATGCCATTGATCTGGCCTCGAAGAACCAGGACCTCCAAGCCCAGAATCAGAAGCTTCAGCATCAGAAGTGTGCAAGCCAGTCTGGGACAGTCACACTGGATCCCTGCCCTGGAGAGAAACCTGATCAGGAACCCTTCAAGGGCAGTTGCCTTTCTCCTCATTCTTGGGAGTCCTAGAAGGGTGGAGGGTGGGACATGACAATGAAGTAGAATAAATTAAAATAAATTCCACTAATAGCCACATCTTACTGTGCTGGTTCCTAAGCGCCTGACATGTATTATTTCACTTTGCCTTTTCAGCTATTTCGTAAAAAATATATAGTCAACATATGTAGATACCATTTGACCTTCATTTCAGAGATAAAGTAAATGAAGCAAGGAGAGGTTAAATGCAAGGAAGGACAACTAAGTAAGAATTTTAAAATCAAGTTGGGTATAGTGGTACATCACAAACAGTAGTGGTTTAAAAGCTTTACTTTGCATCAGAATTACCTAGGGAGCTTGTGAAAAACAAAAAAACCCAAAATCTATTCCCTAAGAATCTGCAACAGGTCTGAGATAGGTCTGGTGCTGGGAACAGAATGAGGCAGGACCTTTGCATGCTAAGCATTTGTTCTACCACTAAGTTACACCTACCCTGGACCTCTTACATTTGATAAGCACACCAGGTATTCTACTATAGAAGGAGGGCCTGGCACTCCTCTGGCCATGGTTTCCAAGGATAGATGACAAGGATTATCACTGCGTGAACCAAAGAAAATGAAAATCAAAGCCACATTCATCGTCTTAAGTTTTCTAGCTGGGCCCAGTAACTTCTATTTTCAAGACTCTACATTCCCTATGGCCCAAGTTTTGTGCTTTGGAGATTTCAAAAGCTCTGTGACAAGGAATAGTCTCAGATCCATGGTATTCCCAAAGGAAAATGCCACTGGCAACAGCTGAAAGAAAACATTTCCTTCTAATTTTACTTACAAAATTTTAAGATACTCAGGTGACCAGGCGCCAAAATTATTTCAGAAAAGATGTACAACATAAAAGACAGGACAATAGTGATTGGTTGTAGGAAGCGCCTACACCCTAGAACACTTTATTAAGACTTTATTGCTTATGCAGTTCGAGAGACACTGATTGAGCTATAGAAGTTTCCTGTACCTGGTCCCAGGTCACTCTGTCCAGCTTCTCCAGACTGCTGGGAGCTGGGACAGTAGGCAGAGGTGCAGGTTCCACGGTGGGAAGATGGTTCCTCCCAAGAACCTTGGAGGTGGCACAGGCCTTCAAGAGGGCCCAGGGGCAACATTCCCTGAGACAAGCCCCAGCCCCCTCTAGGGTCTCCAGACTAAAGACTGGGTGTGTGCAGCAGCACTGTGGAGGGGGCAATCTCCAAACACTGCTGGAGATGGGGAAGCTTAGCAGAGTGGCCTGGGTGATGGTTGTATAATTTGTGGCAATTGGGCCTTCCTGAATGAGAGTGGGGAATGAATATTCTTTGGGGGAAGTCATGCACCAAGATTGGGCTAAAGCAGCCAGTACCATGCCTAGTGCCAGTGGATCTGCCAGGCAAGGAAAGTCATCTGTTGCCCACATCCTACTCTGAGAAACTGTTCATGCAGGGATGAGAAAAGAGGCCTCCCATGTCAGAGATGGGGTTACTTCTTAGGACTATGTATTGATACTCCCAACTTCTTAGTCTGGAACAACTTGGAGGTGTGGTGGGAAAGTTAAAAGTTTTCTTAAGCAAACCCACTCTTCATGTCTCCTAGGGGTACTCCTTTACCTAGCACCTCCAGAGACTAACCTGGCTGCTCTCACTTCCCCAGCTTTTCTCACAAGGCACTTGTTACAGAGCTGCTGAAGAGAGGTTGGGGGAGGCCTGGGAGATGACTTTAGTAGTGGCATCCAATCCACTGGGTAAGAAAGTGACTGGGGATGGTCAGGAGCTAATGGCTGCCATAGTACAGGTGCACAGCCAGGCCAATGAGCAATGTGGCCAGGAAGAAAGTGGCTGTGAGCTGCAGTCCCAAAAGGGCTGCTGAGAGTATAGCATTGACCACCAACGAACAAGATACAACAAAGAGGCGTGTGATGCTGCTGCCATGCTTCATGACAGCTGACATAAGCAGCCCATTGAGTGCCTGGCTCAGCACTACAAGTGCCGCCCATCCTGAGAAACCTTCCAGGAGGCCTGGGCCAGGACCACTGCCTGCATGCAGACAAAGGTTCAGCAGCACACCGAAAGTGTAGAGGAAGAGGTTCTGCAGTGCTAGGGGCAGTCGCTGTCGCTTCATGAGCTGCTCTGTGTACACTGAGGACAAGCCTGAGATGAAGCAGTACAGGATGAGGAGTAGCAGTCCCAGTGGAGTGATACGCAGGGGCATAGTGCTGGCAGCAGCTGCTGGCGGGGGCCCTGGAACAGTGTTCCCAGAGTCCTGAAGGCCACCTGCTGCATAAAAGGCCCCTGCGACCATCAGCAGCAGCAGTGCCAACCCTTGACGTGCAGAGAGGCGGCGCTGGAGGCAGAGGCAGTACAACAGGGCTGTGCTTCCAATCTTGAGATTGCTCAGTACTTGGTAGGTGCTGGGGTCCATGTAATGTTGTAGATAGATCACTAGGTTGTTGCTGGCGCCATAGAGGAGGGCTGACAGTGCAAAAGGAGCAGCTTGGCGCCAGGGTGGGCCTCCCACAGGCCATGCTTGCCATCCCACCAGGAGGGAGAAGGCGCACAAGAGTAGCTTGGTCAGCTCAGTGAGCAGCACAGCTGAGGAGGGTCTGAAGGGTACTCGGCCATCCACATGACACAGTGCCAGCAATGGAGCATGTGCGCCATACATGGCAGTGGACAGGAGTAACATCAGGGTCCAACGGGCCTGCCTGTGATGGCCCAGGCCAGGTATACCCCCCTCCTCTACACTCATGCCCCAATCAGACCCTGGGTGGCCTGTGTAGTTAGCAAGGGGCAAAGGGATTGGGACGCATTTGAGAGAAATCAAGTTATACAGCCAGCTCCCAGGAAGGAGGAGCTGGGGTACATTGTGAGAGAGAACACTGAAGATCAGAGTCAGCTGCACACTCCAAAGTTAGGGTAGAAGAGGAAGGGGCAGGTGAATCATCGTCTTGGGGTTAGTTCCATGGAGCCAGGGAGGATAGAAATGCAGGGTACAGGCTGACAAGCCACTGTACAGCCTCTGCAGGAAAAAAGCAAAGATGAAGGTGGCAGGACAGATGGATGACGGCTGGGGAAGCCAGATAGTGTCTATGGTCAAAAGGGCTCCATCTTCAGGCCCAGTTGCTCATCCTTTCTCTTCCATGGGATCTGGAGCTAGTCAGGCCCCTTCCGAAATGATTGGAAGTAGTCCCTTAATGTTTTCTCCACATTGGGCAAAGCATATGCCTGAGCTGCGTAGATGCCAGTGCAGGTGCCCACAGCAAACCCCAGTACTGCTGATGCCCTCAGTTTGGCCACCACATAGCCAGCCAGGAATCCCTTGAGGAATGGGGAGGACAAGAGTGAGCCATCCTGTAGAGAAAGATGCACACAGAAACTCAGGCAGGTTGTCTTCCTTCTCTAGCCAAGAACTGCTCAAGCTGGGCTCAGCAAATTATATTACTTGCTCCTCAATCTGGACAATTGTGGTATTTTCACCGAAGATTTTCTCAAGGGTCTGGAGAACTCAGAGGAGTCCTAATAATATAATTTCAGAATCCTGGGGTTACACTGGGTGTGGTGGTACACTCCTATAATCCCAACACTCAGGAGATGAGGTGGGAGAAGTGCCCAGAATTCAAGGCATTACATAGCAAGTTAAAGGGGGGGGGCAGGGATTTAGCTCATTGGCACCTGCCTTGCAAGTGCAAGTTCCTGAGTTCGATCCCCAGTACCAAAAAATAAAAATCCTGGGGTCAGAAGGTTCCAACCTCAGCATCCTACTGTAAGAAGGCCAGAGATTCCCCATAGGAAATCAGAACTCTGTTTCTCTAGCCTCATTTCCTAGAAGTTCCCTTACTGCTGCAGCCTTGTCATGTTTATAATACTGCTTGGAAAGTTAATCTTCTTCTGGTGGTATAGACTAACTCCTATTTTAGTTACCTCCTACTTAAGATTTTAGTTCAAGGGCTATGTTCTTAGGGAAATTTTCCCGGGATGACTGAGAACAAGCTCCCAATAACTATATGGTGGGTCAGGGATTTACTTCAGTGGTGCCACCACCTGCCTCACAAGCGCAAGGTCCCAAGTTTGATCCCAGTATAAAAAAAACAAAACAAAACAAAAAACAAATTTGGTAAATAAATTGCTACCACCCATTCAGCATTCTCAAAGCAAGTTAGGCAATGAAACATAAGGCAAAGGGTAGGTCAGCCCCTACCTGGCCTACACCACTGTTGACTTCATCTTCCACTCGTTGCTGCAGGTGCTCCAACTGGTTCTTGAGAAATGCCAGGTCCTTAAGCTTGGGCAGAGAATCCTAGGACAAGGGAGAGGCTGGCTCAGTAGACTTGACCCAGCCCTAGCCCCTACTCACTTCCATAAGGCTAGGAGTTGGGAAGAGAGTAGGTCTGAGAAATATCTTTTTATAAAACCTTCTTGGCATGGCAATAGCAAAAGAAGAAAAGCATTGAAAAGCACAGAATTCACATGGGGGCCAGGGAGAGGATAACAAAAGGAATTTGCATCAGTAACAACCTTTACAGTAATCTCATATAGCAAGCAGTATGTAGGGAAGGCAATGAGAACCTGCAAACATGTCTATGAGGAAAGCACCACTGAGGACCTATAAGCTCTCTGCAAATGGCCATCAGACTGTCCAACCTGTTCTGTTCCAAGGACTGAAAGAAACTTAGTAAATGTGTAGGTGGTCCAAGCTTCCAGTTCAATAGTGAATAATGGATTGAAGCAGTTTTCTAGACAATCAGAGGGTAAACCTACTACTGCTGGGGCTTTCTTTTATTCCCAAGTCCATCCCAAACTGACTGGGAGCAACTAGAAGTAACAAGGAATGACTATTGTCGGCAGGAGTATGAATGAATGTTCTGATCGCGTGTATGAATTTAAGAGTAAGAGAGTGTTGCTGGGCGTGGTGGCACACACGTGTAATCCCAGCACTTAGGAGGCTGAGGCAGGTGGACCACTGTGAGTTTGAGACCAGCCTGGTCTACATAGTTTCAGGTCAGTCTCAATTACATAATGAGACCCTGTCTCCAAAAAAAGGGGGGGGCGGGGATTTAGCGCAGTGGTTCCACCAACCGCCTCACAAGCGCAAGGTCCTGAGTTCGATCCCCGTTACTGGAAAAAAAAAAAAGAATAAGGGTGTTTGAATGAAGGTGGTGAGTTGCCTCGGTGGACTGGAAATGCCAACTGTGGGTGGTAAAGGTGAATCGCGTGTGCGCTAGAAACTGGGCATCGTGATGGTTGCCAGGAGTGGACACCTGGGAAGCAACACTTGGCACCGTCCATCTAGCCTAAAACCGGCCCCACGCCACCCTTCACTACTAAGGTAGTCAATAGAGCCCAAGGAAAACAAGGGGTATCCCCACCGCTGAACCATATCCCCAACTAAAAAGTTCTCCCTGAAACTAAAAAGGCCGTCAAGTGTAAAGACCAATCCAGACAGAAGTACACTCCACACTCACTCACCTTGTCATCCGCCATCTTCCCCGCCGAACTTGTTGCGCAGGCGCAGACCCGTTTCTATGCTGCCAAATGGCTCAGCCATCTTTACTGAGGGCGAATGCACTTCCGGGGCATTTGTGGAGGGGTGGGGCATTTTCCTAATCTCCGAGTGCTAGCGGGCAGATATCACGTGACCCTTCCTGTACCTTTCCAGGCTACTTGCGCGGGCGCAAATGACCCCAGGATGATATCACTCGTGCACGAGGTGCACGTTCGCCTTCCTGTTCTTCCGCCAGCTGCTGAGCTCATAGCTGCGCGCTAGTATCAGTAAATTGCCTCTCCTCTGTGCCCCTCCCTTAGCCCCACGAACGGAAACACGCACCCACGCGAGGCTCCATCCCTCCCTACCACGGCGGGCGGTGCTGCTCAGGCCAGCCCCTTCCCGCCCCTGATCCAGCCCCTGTCCTACCCAGTGTTTGTGGGGTGCCAGTTGGCTTCGCTGTCTTCGGCGCAGAAAGGCTGGTCTTGTAGGCGCAGCAGCTCCGGAGGTCGCGCTGGACTGAGAGTGCAGGCCGGCGCAGGCCGGCGGGGACGCGGCGGGGCTATGCTGGGCAAGGATTACATGCTGGCTATCATTCTGGTCAACTGCGACGGTGTGCACTGAAGGGCCAGATGGGAGGACTAGAAACTGAGGGGAGATAAGGGAGTGAGAAAAGGGTAGGGGGTTTGTCTCGATCTGAGGATGAGGGGACAAATAAACCCTGATCTTTACTCGCAATCGCAGTGGCTTTTAAGATTGGGGGAGCCTGGAGTTTTAGCCTAAGGGCTGCCTACTCCTATGGGATGGTGGGAGGGCAATGATGAGGTGTTATTCTGAACTCTCGAATATGCCCCTCCTCTGCAATGTCTTGTTCCTATAGATGATTTATGGGGGGACCAGAGTCTGGAGGGGGAGCCAGGCCTGCCCCCTGGCTGGAGGAAGATCCATGATGCTGCAGGTACTTACTATTGGCATGTACCCAGCGGTAGCACCCAGTGGCAGCGCCCCGCCTGGGAACTAGGAGACACAGAGGACCCAGGCACGGTAGGTGAAGTGTAAAGAGGGGAACCTGAGCTCAAGTGTGGACCTAGGCCTGCTGCTACACTAACCCCTACTCTACAGGGCACAGAGGGGATTTGGGGACTGCGGCCTCCCAAAGGAAGATCTTTCTCCAGCTTGGAGAGCTCATTGGACCGGAGGTAACAGGGATTACCCAGGCAAAATGAAAGGCTTGGGATTCTATGACACTCAGATATGCAGCTGGGAGCTGGGCGTGGTGGTTCACGCCTGTGATTCCAATACTGGTGAAGTAGAGGTTAGAAGATCACCATAAATTTGAGGCCAGTCTGGGCTACGAAGTGAGTTCAAGGCCAGCCTGAACTGTGTAGTGAGACCTTGTTTTAAAAAAAAAAAAAAAAGCAAGCTGCTGGACCTGCTGTCTGTTTTTCAGCTCAGGTTCTGGGTTCTGTTCCTTTATGGGCCCTATTCTGTGCCTTTGGCTTCATCCTGTGTTCTTGATTCTAAGTTTTGGCCCTTGTTCTCTTAAGTTCTTGACATTAGCTACATGTTATTTTCCATATTCTGATCTGTGGTGTTCTAGACCTTGACTGTTGTCTTAGGCTTTGTAGAGGATCCTATCCTGTGTTCTTGGGTCTCATCCCAGTTTGGGGCTCTTATCCACATTTTTGGATGCTGCTGCACATCTGTAGCTTTTATGCCCCATGTCTGGGTCCTGTGTCCTGAATTTTCCCTCAAACATCAAGCTATATATTTACATAATTTAATATGTCCTCTGTCCTGCTCAGGTTTTATATTTGTGGTGTTATAGTCTGGGTGCTCTCCCAAACCCTGTGCTGATTAAGTAGCCTGGGCCTCACCATTGTTCTTACTGTAGGAAGTATAGCCCTCACAAGCTCTGCTCTCTGTTCTAGTAACTCTCTGACGTGGTATGGTGAAGAATCCTATATCCAGAGCCTGGAACCAGGGGCTAAGGTAGTGATTTGGGGCTCAGGGCATTGGGGGCCTAGAGCATTGGGAAATCCCAATGGAAAGACCAGGGGTACAAGTGGACTGAGCAGAGATGATTAAGGGTGAAAGCAGGGACTACTGTTTATATGGGTGGAGCCTGGGGCACTTGACAACCTATTCTACCTGTACTCATTCCTGTCCCTTGTCAGTGCTTTGCAGTCCGCTCTTTGGGTTGGGTGGAGGTACCAGAAGAGGACTTGGCACCAGGGAAGAGCAGTATTGCAGTCAATAACTGTATCCAGCAGCTGGCCCAGACCCGCAACCGGCACCAGCCCCCAGATGGTGCTTGGGGTGAGGTGAGTTGTCTTGCTTCACAAGAGGGTTCAATGTATGGCCCAGAAGAGATAGTTGTCCCCAGATTTCCTTTTCTCCATGACAGTCACCTTTATCTGATCTCTGAGTTGATCTCTGTCCTTGGCAGGGCCAGAATATGCTGATGATCCTGAAGAAAGACACCATGAGTCTGGTGAATCCTCTGGACCATAGTCTGATCCACTGCCAGCCTCTGGTGCACATCCGTGTATGGGGTGTGGGCAGCTCCAAGGGCCGGTGAGGACTTCTGCATCCCCCAAAGCGAGAGCTGCTTCTCCCTCCCCCTGCAGGCTGTGATACCCACTGATGATGATCCCTGGTACCTGAACCCCTGGACACAGATCCTGATATGAACCCAGCACTGCTCCTCCTGCCTGGTCCAGTCCTGGTTGGGGAGGGTGGGCCCAGCTCAGCAGGGACAGATAGGGGAGAGCCTGAGAGGCTGGGCTGATTCTCTTCTGTGCTCCCACATGCTTCTGGAATAGTGACAGGTATGTAACAACCATGTACCTTGAACCCCAGCTTTGAACCCCATTGCCTTATCCCTACATTGATATTAAAAGCCCCTTGAAGGCATTATAGATCCCTGCCACAAACCAGCTCTACCCCAGCCCCATTTCTGCCTCTGCCAGGGACTTCGCTTTTGTGGCTGGTGACAAAGACAGTTGTATGCTGAAGTGTCATGTGTTTCGCTGTAATGTTCCTGCCAAGGCCATTGCAAGTGCTCTACATGGTCTCTGTGCCCAGGTAAGAGCTGGGGAAGCAGGGGGGTGGGGGATGTGGATATGGAGCTGGGGCTAAAACTTCCAGGGTAGTTGGCTCCCTCCCTCCACCCTGGGCCTTATGCTGATTACATGGTGTTTTAGATCTTGTCAGAACCAGTCGGGATCGGTGGTGAAGCTGCTTGCTGCTCCCCGGACCCCATTTCCCCTGAAGACCTGCCTCGACAAGGTATAGGGAGGGAGTTGCTGCACTATAGTTTGGCTGCTTTGGTGAAAGATGGGAGTGGTGGCAGGGGTGTGTTTCCTGCTTATTTAACACTTCTCTTGAGATGCGTCTGATCGCAGAGATTGATCCAAGGGATCTCAAGCCCTGAATTGGAGGAGCATCCATGGTCTTCCACGGTCTTTCTTCTGTTAGCTCTAGCCTGGCTCCTGGCCCATTCAGAAAGGTGGGGAAAGGGGTGACTGAGAGAGTTCCCCTTCCAACTTGGTGTGTATATTTCAGGGGAGCTGCTGGATGCAGTGAGCCAGGCTGCTCAGAAGTATGAGGCATTGTATATGGGGATCCTGCCAGTCACCAAAGCCATGGGTGAGGATGGGGTGGGGGGACCTGGACGGGCTGAACTACATAAATCAAGGGGAAGGTGGGTGAGGTGGGAATCTATCACCTTTTCTCTGAGTCCTCTGATGGCCTTACATAACCTTGGATGTATTGGCTTTCCCAACTTAGAATTCTAAGCCAGTCCCTGCTGTCCTCTTCTTATCCTTCTGATTCCCAAGTCAGTGAGCAGGGTCCTAGACATTCTTTGCATTCTTTTTTTTTTTTTTTTTTTTTTTTTTTTTTTTGGTTTCAGG